TATAATATATATATATATATATATATATATATATATATATATATGTATGTATAATATATGTATAATTTGATTAAACATATATATATATATATTTTATATATAATCAAAATNTTAAAAAATATATATATTGCTTTAAATAACATTTGTTACTTTAAATTTATTATTTTAAACACATCAAATCATTTAATATAATTTCTAAAACTTAACAACTTAACAACTTTTCTTCAAAATTAGTAAAATTAAATTTTAAAGATTAATTGTTAACACAACAATATTTATTAGAGTAAGAATTAATCTTATGACGCAAAATAACATGATCAAAAATGTCTCTTTATTTACCTGGACTTGTCATATTGATCGAAAGTAGCAGCCATTGTTTTAGCAAGTAATCGACTAATCGGCAGCGTTGCCAGAAGAATTCCCTACCGTAGGGAAAAGGTGACGTCATGTAAAGTTATATACATTATGCGACTTGAGCACACCATGCGAGAATTAGTGGTACTAATATTTTCACATTCTACACGCCTAATGTTATAAATCCAAATTACAAATATAAATCCAAAAAAGTCCCTAAGTTCCCTCTAACAATTCTAACCTATTTTCTGTTATTTTAAATATCATTAAGTTCTCTATCTATGATTCTTACTCCATTTTTCTTCTAACAATCAGCGTTGCCAAAAGAATTCTTTATTCAAGAGAAAAATTGTTATCCTAGAATTATATTAATTTGAACACAGCATATGAAAATTATTAATTCTATTACGTATACTACCTATCTACATATAACTACTACTAATACTACTATGTGCGGAATACTATATATAGAACAAATATTTTATTTATAACTTTATTTATAATTTTCAATCACTATATATATCTATTTTTTGAATATATTGGATTCATTGAAATTCAAGCAATTAGATTTCCATTTTTTTCAATTTCTTATTAGCGACAAATATTTATGTATTTAATTAAGTATATATCCTAATCTGTCTTTCAGTATTACTTTTTCATATCATTGAATTCTTTTTTCTTTAATCATTTTTTTCTCACTGACAATTCAATTATCAATAATAAACAATAACAATATTGACAAATCCTATTAATCCGTTATCTCCTAGGGATTGTGCATAATCAATAGTCAAAACAATTTATTTATATGTACTCAATAGTAGTTCAATTCTTAGAATATACTTTTTTTAAAATGAAAGTTAATACATTCCACTTAAATTTATGATATATTTATTCTTTTTTAAGAAAGTATCATCACTTTTCCCGCGTAATAATTACTAATTATTTCATTTCCTGTTATATTTTCTTAACGGAAATATCTTTTGGTGAAATAATTGAAAGGAAATAGATGTCGCAACAAACTCTGTTTTCAATGTTTTATTCTTTTCTTTATAACAGAGAAACTAAAATTTTCTATTTAAATTATATATTCTCTTCAATATTTATCAGTATAAATACAGAAACATTAACATATTTTTTAATAATTTTTAATAAAATAAATTTTAATTTTATTTATATTTTTTTTATTATTAATAAAAGTATTGTTTTTATTTTTTTGTAAAATACTAAAATGATCAGGTTTAAAAAAATATAACTTGATCTTCTATAGATTTATTACATTCTTCTCTTCTTTTACTCATTTTTTTTATGAAATTGATATCATTTTCGTTCTAAATGTTCCCTTTATCCTAAACTGCATTGATACGCGTTATAATATACAATGAAAAATAAAATATGATAATAATATAATTCTGTAAAATGATAACTCATGTTATGCAGCAAAGTTATCGAGCTAATTGCGTGATTAATGCTGCACACATTTCAAAGAATTCCATTGTATGATGACCTGTTGTTTGAGGTGGTGGAATTGTAGGATCTAAAGAATAATTATATTATATTTATGTTGAAATAAAATTATATTAATAAATTACTTAATAAATAAATAGCAATATCAACTTTAATTCTTTACCTCGTCCAATATCTTCTTCTTCATTTGACAAGGATTTAAAATCTAATAAGTAACTTTTATAATCAACTTGATAAAGTTGTAATGACATCTTACTATATCTATCTGTTAATTTATTTTTTTGACGAACTCTAACACTGTAAGCATTTATAATTTTCCATTCCTATAAAGATAAACAATTAATTTTTATTCCAAAAATTAATTAAAAACAAAATCTTACAAAATTAAGAGCTTTCATTGCCCGATAAACTTCATTCATGATATCATTTGGTTTAGATTGCGAACGAATTCCTAAATGCCATTTAGCCCGTTTTATTGGTGTACCACGAGCACCTTGTGTTGAGGATGATGTGCTTCCTTGAGAACTTTGTCTTTCTCGTAATGCTAAGATACAATATAAATTCATTAAATGTTATAAAGTAAAATAAAAAAGTAAATAAATTTTCAAATTATATATTTATAAATTTTTTATAAATTTTTAAGTTTATCTTCTTACGCGCTATTCTTTCTGGATGTGGTCTCAGAGGACTACTATTGGTATCATTGGGACTGAAAGCAACAGGAGGTGGACTAGAAGCTACATAGAAATCTTTTAATTCTGCTTTAGCAGCTTCATCTGCAATTCTTTTATTGTCTATTATCAAGTGATAAGCAATTGCCAGTTGATCATGAGGATCTCCACCTAATAATGCAGAATGAACTTCAGCTTCTTTTACATTAAATTTTTCGCAAACTTCATTTACTGCGTCTATATCGATTACAGAAGAATCTTGTTCAACAGGCGACGGAAATAAATATGAAGGTAAATCCTTTTGAAACCATTCATGTTTCCTAATTTAAAAATATTTATAGCTATTTTTAATTCTATTGTAAAAGATTTAAAAAAAAATTTTAAAGAAACTCTCAAAGAAAATATATAATACATAAAATAAAATATATAAATAAAAATTTAATATACTTGATATCTTCAATAGTTGCTCTTTTCATAGGATCCACTTGCAACATATGACATAAAAGACTTACAACACTTTTATTCAGGTACTCTGGAATAGGGAAAACTCCAGCTAAAATAAATATAAAATATTTTTATATGAATTATTAAAATTAAAGATTGTAATTAAAGGTATGTATATTGTTCTTACTTACATTTAATTTTACGGAAAAGCGTTGGTACATGTTCATCATCAAATGGTAAAGTACCACAAAGTAAAGCATAAAGTATTATTCCACAAGACCAAATATCAACTTCAGGGCCAGCATATAATTTACCCGAAATTACTTCTGGTGCTGCATAGTTAGGAGAACCACAAGAAGTACGTAAGAATTCTCCATCCATCATCATATTTGATAAACCTTTAATGAAATCATTATAATTAAATTATAATATATAAAAATAAAAATAAAAATAATCATAAGTCTTATTTGAAATATTGTATAATTAATATATAAATATTTATAAAAGTTTAGTTTTTATAATTTTTTTAAAAATTATTTTAAAAATATTTTATTAAAATAAAATATTAAAAAGTATTCATTTTTTGAATTATAGATATCTTGCATTTAATAAATTAAATAAAAGTTTTATTTAAAGCATAATAAAATATTAACTATATTCAAGTACCAAAATCTGCTATTTTTACATGTAGATTGTGATCTAACAAAAGATTTTCTGGTTTTAAATCACGATGAACTATCATATGTCTGTGACAATAATCAACACCAGAAATAATCTGTTGAAAAAATCTTCGTGCCTCATATTCCTTAATTTGCCATGTTTCACAATATAGTCAAATAATTCTCCACCTGATACATATTCCATTATCATAAATATATCTGTGGGTGTACTTATAACTTGATATCTAAATCACAAAAAATATTTATATCCTTTGGTATTTAATATCTCACAGTGTATATTATTATTACGTACAATTTAATAATATGAGGATGTCTGAAAAGTTTAAGATTTTGTATTTCTCTTCTAATCTTTCCAACCACATCTAAACTTTTGATTTTCTGACGATTCAAAATTTTCACAGCAACTTTATGTTTTGTTAATACATGTTCTCCAACTATGAAAAAAATAAGTTAATAATCTTTCATAAATTACATAATAATTTATATTTTTTAATATTATATACATAATTATAAAATATATAAATATTTTCATATTATCAAATTAATATAATAAAAGTTTATTAAAAAATAATAATTTATACATACTTTTTACTTTACCAAATGTTCCAACACCTAGAGTTTGTCCAAGAGTATAATGGCCTATCTTAACAATTGGTTGTGGTTGATTAGATGGAATTTTTTCAGACATTATTACAAATTCTACAATATGTAATAAATATTATTGATTAAAACAAAAATAAAATAATTATTAAACAAATTTAAATATCAGTTTTAAAAACTTAAAATAACATACGAAAAGTTATAACTACAAAGTATCTAATTCATGTAGAAAAATGTCAATAATTGATCATTTTTGACACTTTACTACAATTACTTATTTATATTCCACAAATATAATAAATTTTTTAAAACTCAAAACAAGGTCAAATAGAATGTAAACGGAATTATTAAAGTTATAATTATATCATCATAGAAAGCAATTATATTGAAAAATGTCAAAATAAAATTATTCATTAAATAAACGAGAAACAAATAATTAACAATTCGATCACCTGATATTATTTACATATTCTGATACTTATTATTTTGAAGATACCACTACATAGACGTATAACATAATATGTTAAATCATTTATCACAAAATTCAAAGATTAGAAAACTACTGATAAATTTCATGTTAATATTTTTGATTCATAGAGAAATCAAAACCTTAGATCGTTAAAATATTTTATATTAGTACATATATATATATATATAGCGCTATCATGAATTGAACTGGCGGCTTATATAAAATTTGTTTTTGAATTGTATTATATGAAATTTGTAAAGAGAAATTATATTATAAAATTTTTTATTTTACTTTTAAATTTTTTAATTATATCAAAAAGTTGTTTTGATTTAATTTGTTTTTAAATTCTAATTTTTTTTTCATTCATTAACAATTTTTCGAAAATAAAAGTTTATTTAAAATAAAATTAAATATATAAAAAGTATATAATCATCAAATGATTATTATTTTTATAATACTATTTCTTAATCTTAGTAGCCAATCTATTAAAATAATGGAAATTATATTCTTCTTTTAGGAAGATTGAAGATCGAAGTGTATTCGCGTTACAATTAAAATTGATTTTTTTGTTTTATCTTCAAGTAAAATTTGTTAATTATACTATTATTCAAATGTCAGAAAAAGAAAGTCTTATCAAATATTTTCTCAGTGGAGGTTTTGGTGGAATATGTACTGTTATAGTGGGTCATCCTTTAGACACGATAAAAGTAAGGTTATATTAATTGTAAAAATTAAAAACATAAAAAATATAAAATTAACAAGAATTAACTTTTTATAAATATATAATTAATATATACAATTCATAATATATTTTTATTTATATAAATTCTGTTATAAATTAATTAAGTAATTATATATATAATAAGTAATTATATATTAATAATTATAAAATAAAAAAATATTTCTAAATAAAGCAATACAAATTTTATGATTTATAAAAAAATTTATCTTCATTATTGAAGTGCAGCAAAATTTATTAAATAAAATTTTTAACTAAAATATAAAATTTTTCAAATATTTTTATTATTTATTAATATTTTTTATTATGCTTAAAAATTGGAACAAAATATATCTTTGCAGCTTTTCTAAATTATAAAAAATAAATAGAAATTTGGGGTAGAATAGATATTTTAAAGTAAAATATAAAAGATAATCCCCCATTTTTCAGCTGCACCTAATCTAATTGTAGGATTATTAAGTCCTACTTAGGATTGAACTGTCTTTTTCTGAAGAGGAGTGGCCCTAATAATGGATATGTTAGGTAAAAGAAAGATTGTGTGTGCTGATAATATTAAAGATATTATATAGAATTTTTTATTTAAATAGTTTATTTTCCATTATAGGGTTTCCATCATTTTTGTATTTTTTAAAATCTTTATATTAATGGATTAGTTATATATAAATATTATGATCTATTATTAAAATTGTTTTTTATTTTTATATATCATAAATTAAAATCTGTAATAAATATTATATTATAATAATGAAAAATTAAAATAAGAAAATAATTTATATATTTATAATAAGAATACTTAATAAGAATTAATACTTTTTATATTTCTTGTTCATTTTACTATAAATTTTTTATTTCTTCAATTTATTGTTATTATAATAAATTATTGCAATAATAAATTTTTGTTAATAATAATTAATAATAATTTATATTAAAATAAATGCTTTAAAAAAGATATTTTAACAGGTTCGTCTTCAAACTATGCCTATACCAGGCCCAAATGGAGTGCTATTATATAATGGAACTATAGATTGTGCTAGAAAAACAATTGCAAAAGAAGGAATACGTGGATTATATAAGGGTTGGTACATAATATATTATTATACATATTATACATAATATACTTATTACACAATATGTATTATTTATACATATTTTTTATTGATTCTTATTTTTTATTAAAAAATATAAGATTATCTTGAATATTTTTTTTTTAGGTATGGGTGCACCTTTATGTGGTGTAGCTCCAATATTTGCTATAAGTTTTTATGGATTTGGATTGGGCAAACAATTAGTACAAAGATCTAATAATGAGGAATTAACTCCTTTGCAACTCTTTTATGCTGGTGCATTTAGTGGTATCTTTACAACTATTATAATGGCTCCTGGTGAAAGAATAAAATGTCTCTTACAAACACAACAAGGTATAAAATCTAAATATAGTGGTCCTATTGATTGTATGAAGCAACTTTATAAGGAAGGAGGGATTAAAAGTATTTATAAAGGTACCTGTGCTACTCTTTTAAGAGGTAGGTAATATTACTTATTTTTTTCTATTTTATTTTTAAATGATTTAAATATAAAGATTACGAAAATAGAAACTGTTAATTGCAATTCTTTTTTATTCTGAATTTCTATTATTATATCTAGCTATACATATATTATATATAGAACTAAAAATGATATATTAAAAAGCAATCTTATAAAAATTGTTTAAAAACAAATTAAACTTCTAATTTTGTTTTTTTTATACACATATATTCATTGTAAATTAAAAAAATATATTAGCTAACTAATAATATTATCTTCATAATTATATTTTCCAATTGAAGATTTTTTTTAAATGTTTTTTTTTGAAGGTTCTACATTGCAAACCACCTTTACGTAATGCATGAAAAACTCCCCAATTTTTCAACTTCTTAGGAGTTGAACATCTTGGTGCTGTTTCTCTTAATCTATTTACCTATTTTAAAATAAATTATAATGATATTCTTTTTTATATCTAATTTTCATTTAAGAATGAAACAAAAAGTAGTTTTTTTGTACTCACCAAATGAGGATTCCATGTAAACATTAGACAATTGCAATCCCATGGATTGCTATCTAATCTTACAATTGCAAAATCTAATTGCTGTTTGCTTGGAATCCGAAGCATTTTAAAAAAATCTATAGGTAGTGAAGTTAGTTTGTTTTGTGAAAGAATAATTTCCCTAAGTTGTTTCTGTTGTTCTACTCCAAATAAACCAGGTGGAATAAATTCTAATTCATTATTTGATAGATCTATGCGTTTAACATTTTGTAAACCATAAAATGCATCCATAGATATTTTACGAATATGACAATTACTTAAATTAAGATCTTTTAACTTGATTAAATCTATAAATGCGTCAAATTCGATACTTGAAATATTTCCTTGTATTTTTAATTGTAACAGCTCGGGCATTCCTTGAAATATAAAACGTTCCAAAACTAGTATTTTTAAATTATACAAGTATAATGTTTGAAGATGACATAATCCCAAAAATGAGTTTTTTTGTAGATATAATTTCGAATCTTCTCCTCCCAGATAGAGATTTAATGTTGTATTCATGATTTCAAAAGTACTGAAATCAGAAGATATTTGTATTAATTTTACACCTTATTATTAACTATTATTTTATTTTAAGAAAAGAAAAAAATATATTAAAATACCTTGGAAATATAGAATCCAAAGGATTTTCTCGAAAGTCTGCAATTTTCAACATTGGAAAAGGAGGAAAAGATAACTCTGACAAAAAAGTTAGATTATTTCTTCTTAAATCAAGATTTTCAAGCATTAATAAACCAGCTAAGTCTACACTTTTAAGGGTTAACAATTGATTGTTTGCAAGTGATAATACTTTTAAATTTGGAGTACCATAAAAACAAAATTCTGGAATGAATTTTAAACTATTTTTCTCTAATGAAAGATGAATAAGACTATTTAAACCATCAAACATATGCCATGATATGTCTTTTAAATCACAATCATAAATTCTTAAATGTGTTAAAGCTCCTAAACCAGTAAAAAGCCCAACAGTTTCTTTATAACCTTCCATTTCTTGTTTGTATACATCATATGGAAGTATTTCCTTGTCATCACTTTCTCCATTGTTTTGTTGACTTAAAAATATCAATCTATGTCCTATACTTTGACTGATATTATTTAATAATTGTTTATTTTCATTCTTGTTATTAGTATTCATTGGTTTAATTACAAGATTAGCTTTGTTTCTTTTTGTTGCACTCAAACTTGTCAATTTTACTCGTTCTAAATTTAAGTAAAGAAGATTTAATCCTAATGGATATAATGAATCAAGAGACAAAATAATTCCTCCCTGTTTTTCTTGTTCCACAGTCAAATTCTTTTTTAGAGATTCATTATAATCTATGCCTTGAATATCTAAAGATATTAAATCTGTAAAACGTTGAAATGTTGTAGATTGTAAACGAATCTCAAAGTTACCCATGCCAGATTGAAGAATTGTAAACACCTAGAACAAAAATTTCAATTATATATATATATCATTTTCGAATAAAATTATATTCAAATTCATAATACCAACCTGAATATCTGATGGAAGCTTATCCAAAAGTTCTTCATATTCTTCGGCAATAACGCAAATTGCTACTTTTAAAAATTCGGGAATCATAGAATGATCAATATTTAATCCAAGTTCAAACTTAGCATCGTTACTTAAGTTCTATTAAGAATAAAATAATATTACATTTCAAAAAGAAAAATATAAGTATATTTTACTATAAATATAACTATATAATTATACCTGATCTTGATTTGTTTTTATCCATCGATGTAAAGGTAAATCAACAAATTTTTGTACTTCACATGAACAACCTGGTGGACATTTTGCTTCCCAAATATCGCCAATATCGATTATTTGTCCAAAGCACTCATTCTAAACATATATTTTTTTATTAGTTTATTATTGAATTAAATTTGTATATAAAGTTACTTTTAAAAATCTCTATTATAAAGAATATATAATATGAGATATGAGAAAAATAATCTTTTTATCTTACACTTCTTCAGTTCAAATAAAGAAAAAAATTATGTACCAGCAAAGTGAAGACAAGTATTAGAATAACCATCATAATCAATTAATTAAAATTTGAGAATTGAAGAAAAGCAGATTAAAACCAATAATGGTATGATGGTTTGAAGGAAACTGAATTTTGTTAATTGTTATCTGTCTGCCTTGATGTGCCATATCAAACAGGATGTCTCCTATCTAGCAACCTACACATACTATTTTTGCTTTATAATTATAAATAATGTTCCCACATGATGCTTTAATTATATATATATTCAGGTGGAATTTGATTTTCCTATTAATTTCATAAATATTTTTTATGATACATTATTTTTATGAAATATTATATGTAAATTTTATTTGTATTTTTAAGTTCTTATTCTTATCCTTATAAAACATTCAATACAGATAATATTTATATTTAGCTAACAATTTTTTTAAATCTAATTATCAGATGTTCCTGCCAGTGGAATGTATTTTATGACATATGAATGTTTGAAAAAGTGGATGTCTTCTGAAGAAGGTAAATTAGGAATATTTCAAACAATCATGGCTGGTGGTTTTGCTGGTATTACAAATTGGATTGTTGGAATGCCACCTGATGTATTAAAAAGTCGTTTACAAAGTGGTATATATTGTATTTTTTTCTTTCTATTCTAATTTACTATTAATTTTTAAATTTTCAAATAATACAAACTAGTTAAAAGAAATTATTGAAAAAATTAATTAAAATTTTATATTATTTAGCTCCAGATAATACTTTTAAAAACGGAATTCGAGATGTTTTTATAATTTTAATGAAAGAAGAAGGACCAAAGGCATTATACAAAGGATGTGTGCCTGTGATGCTTCGTGCATTTCCAGCAAATGCAGCATGTTTTCTTGGATTTGAAATTGCTATGAATTTCTTGAATTGGGTACTGTGATATGTATAACTTTGTATATAATGAGTTTTTAAGGAAGACAGGTAGTGATTCTATTGTCAATTAAATATTAAATTAGTATATTTGTAAAATATTTTATATTTCTAAATCAAAGATAATAATACATTTTTATATATTATTCATGTATCATAGAATGTATAATGAATTTGCAATGATGTTATCTATTTTTTCATAATTATTTTGCTATTATATAAATTATTTTTTAGATATGGTTCATACTTTATATAATATGTAATAATCTTTATATCATCTTTTTATATTGTTGAATTTCTATTTTATAATTTATAATATATTTTTTATAAAAATAAATAAATAATTGATTTAAAGTATTACTATTAATTGTAAAACTTTTTTCGATTTATTTTTTTAAAAAATTTTAAAGAAAAATTAAAAAAAAAATTAAAATGAATATTTATTTTATAATAATTTTCAATGAACATAATAATCATTACATGTAAAGATATACAATATAATATTTAAAAATCTGTAAAAAATTATTTTAATTTTTAAATATATATTTTAATTATTTCTTATTTTTTTTAAAGTAAAATTATTAATAATAATAAAATAATTATTAATATTATTTGATGATCATAAAAATTTTAACTTATTTAAAACTTAAGTTTATAAATATATTATCAGAAAGTTATAACGCTTATCTTATTCTATTATTGAACTGAAATTTGCAAATTGAAAATTTTGAAGTGTTCCTAAATCTATCAATACAAGTTTTTATCATTATAGTAAAAGAATTATCTTAAGTTATTGTAAAAGTTTATATAATTTATAAAAATGATATTGAAATCAGTTATATTAATTGGTGGTCCATCAAAAGGTTTGTATTTTATGTAATATAAATATTGCGATATAATTATTATTGTCTATATAAAAATATAACCTCAAATATAATTTTATAAATTCTTAATAATATTAAAAGTTAATTTATAATAAGTAGAAATAATTCACTAATAATATCTCAAAATCAAAAATACCTTTTGCAGGTACTAGATTTAGGCCTCTTTCGTTAGATATACCAAAACCATTATTTCCAGTTGCTGGATTACCAGTAATACAGCATCATATAGAAGCATGTTCTAAAGTGGACAATCTTAGTGAAATATTGATAATTGGATCATATCTTGCAAGTGATTTATCTCAATTTATTGAGGAAATGATAAGTACCTACAAAATAACTATTAGATATCTTCAAGAATTTACACCATTGGGAACAGCTGGAGGTTTATATCATTTTCGTGATCAAATACGTTCTGGTGGGCCAACATATTTTTTTGTAATGAATGGTGATGTATGTGCTGATTTTTCTTTGCAAGAAATAGTAGAATATCATAAAGAAAAACAAGCATTATTCACTATCATGGCTACTGAAGCAACAAGACAACAATCTTTGAATTATGGTTGCATGGTTCTTGATAAGGAAGGAAAAGTTGCTCATTATGTAGAAAAACCATCAACATTTGTTTCAACTTTAATTAATTGTGGAATCTATCTTGCTTCATTAGATATCTTTCAAACTATGGCTGATGCCTTTTATGCAGGACAAAATCAAGAGAATTTTATGTAAGATATTTTAGAAATATTATTAAAAATTATATAACATAAAAAATTTTGATTGTACATTATTTAATAGCCAATTCAATGGTAATGGTAAAGATCCAGCCCATATATCTCTTGAACAAGACATATTAATGCGCTTAGCTGGAACTGGTCGTTTATTTGCTTTACCTGTTTTAAAATGGTGGTCACAAGTTAAAACTGCAGGTTCTGCTATATATGCCAATCGTCATTATTTAGCTTTATATAAAGCAAAACATCCAAATCGTCTTGCTTCTGCAGTTAATGGACCTTGTCAGATTATTGGTGATATTTATATTCATCCTTCTGCTTCTGTTCATCCAACTGCAGTGGTAAAAAAGTTTTATTATATATTTTTTGTTCTTATAAAAATAATTAAATATAATTTTGTAAGACAATAATTGATTTATAGTTAGGCCCAAATGTAAGCATAGGTCCAAATGCTATCATTGCTCGAGGTGTTAGGATAAGGGAATCAATTATATTAGCTAATGCACATATTCAACCACATTCCATTGTTTTACACAGTATAGTAGGAAAGAGCAGTTATATAGGAGAATGGGCAAGAATAGAAGGAACGCCTTGTGATCCTAATCCTGATAAACCATTTGCAAAAATGGAAAATTTACCTCTCTTTAATACTAATGGAAAACTGAATCCTTCTATAACAATACTTGGTAAATAATTTATTAATTGATAATTCATTAAACAATTATTTAAACAAAGGAAAAAATATCATGTATATATATATTTCTACTATATATTTTATATATTTATATTTCAGGCACTAGTGTACGTTTGGCAGCAGAGAAAATTGTATTAAATTCTATTGTCTTACCACACAAAGAACTAACTAGAAATTTTAAAAATGAAATTATTCTTTAAGATATATTTTAAATTATACAATATAATCAAAAGTAATATATTTCTATTAACTAATTTATATATACAATTCTTTTATCATATAGTTTTTATAAATTTGTCAATTTAAAATAGTAACTTAAGCACAAAAGTTATTTAAGAAACTGGTATTGATATAAATATTTTTTTAATAATTTTACTATTTTTAATTATTGGTTTATATATTAATATATATATGTGAATATTATGTGTAAAAAGAAAAAAAATATATGTGTTTTCTTACTTATATATTTATTTCTCTGTTTGCGTTTTTATAACTTACATTTGTAAATTTAACTATTAATATATTAATAATTAATGATAAATATTTTTTACTTGGAAATATATTTATCAAAATATTAAGTATTAAAATAATTTAAAAAATATTTTGTAATATTATATATATTATATAATTTAAGTATAGTAATTCTTTCTTAAATAATATATCATATAATTTTTTATAATTTTATAATTGGCAGTTTTATTCCCATTTAATAGGAAGGCCTCAAAATCAAAGGAATGCACAATTCAATATGTATGCTTCTGAAATTTATTGGCATTTAAATGTAATTTAAAGAAAAATTTAATTTTTATAATTTTGATTTTTTCTTATAAAAATTATTATCATTTTATCATTTGTATGATTTTATTGATAAAAATAAGATCAAATATATATAATATACACATATGATTATTTGATACGTTTTGAATTTGTACATAATATCATCATCATTTACAAGAAACAAATATAATTAAGTAAGATTTATGTTTAACTCTATTATATATACAAATATTATCATTTAGTTAACATTTAAACTCAGAAGTATTGACATAAGAAAATTAAAAAATACGCACGTATATAACAAATGATTTTATAAAAATAGATCATATACACAGTCTTTTCTTGCTTTAAACTTTTGATTGGCTATTATACAATTCTTAAAGTATTATATCAATAAAAACATAAGCTTCAAAGCTTTGTTTCATGTTTAACCCTGTTTCTGAATAATTGACTTGGTCGAAGTAAACCTTGAGAATTATTTAAATAAGAATTTCCAGACATGATAACGGCTGCTGTAGAATCTGAATTTAAAAATTCATTTTTATTATCTTCAAAAGTAAATCGTTGCTGTTGTTGTGTTTCACTATGATTATTAGATCCATGATTGTTTTTCATACGATAATGTACTTCAGAATCTGTCTCTTCTTCATTATCTGCACTATCTACATCTCCTAAAAAAATATTAAACACATTTTTTTATAAAATTTAAAGTAAAATTAATTTAAAGTAATAAATTATTTTTATATAATATTTAAAACAATAATTTATCCAAATTATAATAAATTTAAATAAAACTCACCATCTGAACTATTAGTAGAAGGTAAGTAAAAACGCGAAGCTGAAATTTTATTATTTCCTATTCGTCGTTCACGTTCTCTGGCAGTGTTATTTGGATGATGATATTTAAATTCACGAGGTAGAGTATAGCTCCGAGGCAATGATATTTGACTACCTTCCATGTCACTAAGTTCTCCTTCTACTTCCCCTTCACCTTTAGAACTTTCTTCTCCGCCATTTTGACTTAAACAATGATGATAATAATAATAATAATAATATAATAATAAAATTATTATTATAATACAATAATGTACAATAACATATAAATAGATATAGATAAATATATATTTATGTATATATTTTTTAAGTTTATCTATTGATTTTTTAATAATTTTTTTAATTTCAAAAAATGAAGTTCATTAAATTTTAAATCTTAATTACCGAGGATTAATATGAGAAGAAGGTGTCCAATGTGAATAGTGATGAGGAAGACATCTGGGTGCAAGTAAAATTTCTGGAGTATCCGCTCTTTCTCTTTGTGTCGTTCTCCAGGAATTTGAAGGATGAATATTTGGATAATAAGAAGAAGATGGTGGCGGAGGTAAAAGACAATGCATTTTCACAGGTGGCCATGAAGATAAGGTTACTCCTCCATTTTGATCACCTACTGATGGTTCAGATGTAAATAAAGGAGAGCTAGGAGAAGTATGTAACTTTGTATTAGGAGGTGGTTGCTGAGTTGATGCAGGTGATGATGAGAATGACGATGCCGAAGCCGAAGGTGGAGGAAATAATTTTCCTTCTTTTATTTCTTCTTGTATAGCTCTTAATTCGCGTAATTGCTGTTGTTTTTTCTCTTGAAGTTTTTCTCTTATTAAATTTACATTTAAAGAACCAGCAGTTCCAGCATCTGTTCCAATTTTTTGTTCATTCATATGACCATTCTATCTCAAAATAATGAATATTAATGTAAAGGAAGAAAATACAAATATATAAAATTAAAATGAAAATTGATTTTATGTTTTATTAATTTATTAATTTTTTGTTTCTTTTTTTCTTTTATAATAAAATAATTCAATATTACCTGCATTACATTAGAATTCACGGATTTTTTCCAAAATGGTATTAATTGACGTGAATTGCTATTTATACCATGCCATTGTTTTGACTCATCCAGTGTATTTATAGGAGCTGTAACAGTTCCAGATTGAGATTGCGGTGGTGGAGGTACGAATGTTGTTGGTTTTTTCTTTTTACGATTTGGATTTACTACAGTTGGATTAGCAAAACGACAATTGAATACTCCTGGTATCCCACCATTACTCAATTTAACTCTTCTCACTCCAACATTCATACTTAATTTTTTATTCTCTGTATATTCAATTTGTTTTTCTTCTAAATTATCCTATAGATATGATTTTAATAAAAATATTTGTTATATATTTTTTAAAATTTCATTTTAATTTTTACCATACTTGGTTTGATAAAGCTGTGAGATTTGATGCCGTCATTCTACCGCCAGCTTCGTACCTTAATCTTCGTACATGAAAAAATCTAAAATATCATTTTAAATTACTATTAATATTTAAATATATTAATATTAAATATTAATATTTATTATTATTATTAACAATTGCAATTAAATTATTGCCATAATATTGATTTATATATATTATATATGTATTATATATTATATACATATATATATATATATATATTTATTAAATCAATTAAAAAAATAGAATTTGCAATTACCTATAATAAAGACCCATGAAAAACATACCACCAAAAAATAAAGCTAATAATGTAAGTACTAAAGTTACAGAATTTGGATGATGTTGATGTGGAAGAAAATCAGTTCTATTGATACCAACTATCCATACACCAATGAGTAAACTGTTCTCCAAAAACATTACTGTGTAAAATATTATCTATATAAATACATAAAATATATTAAATTGAATTCATTTTAAAAATAATAGTACTAAAAAAAGAATATCAATAACTCACCATTTTTTGACGATGATTTGTTTCATGCAAATTTACATATGCAAATATATAAACAAATGCAAGAAGTGAAGCTAAAGATGTTTTTCTTAAAATAGGTAAATGTTCACCACCATGAAAAAGACCATCTGGAGTAAGTAACAACCACATTAACATTGACAACCAATGGAGAGCCATGACAATTAATAACCATTGTCCACCATACAATGAGGCATAAGCTACTAATACTCCTACTCTAGCGCTTACAGTTCCTAGACGCCATGCTAGTTGTGCCAGCACACCTAGCCATGTCAATACCAAACGTTCTAAATTACGAAGACGTGCTGCACCTTTGCTAAAACTAGCCACTGCCCAACATACACTCCACAAAGATAGACCAGCAGATACTGCAGTCAACTTTGCTAACTTATCATTGTCTCTGCTTTCATTTTCTTTTGTTTTTTCAACTTCATTATTTGAATCATTATTAACTCCAATTGATAGCAGATATAATTGCAGAAGTAACATTGGTGCAGCTTCACAAAATGCATGAATAAGACGTAATACACAAAGTTCTCTTACCTAATAAAATAAAAAGTTATATTTGATAGATATATAAGTTATTTTCTTATTTCTCACCTCATGTTTAACATAAGTAAGATTAACTGGAATAAATAATTTGAAGTATCTCCATAATACTCCAACTTGAGTTGAATGAAGTAATAAAACACACCATATTGTCCAATTTCCATTTTCTTTTTTTCCATTACAATCTGTTATAGTATTACCAGTTAATTTACCTCTGGCACCCCATAAATACCATCGTACACTAATAATCTAAAATTAAATTATTATTGTATTAAATTGAAATTTTTTATTATTTAATTTACTTACCTGAGAAATAATTAATGAAGTTGCTATAAGCATAACACTTAAAGGAAAAAGAATTGGAGGAGCTATAGAATGTTGAGCAAGAGCATATACCATTGCAAAATCAAAAACAACGTCACAAAAATATGATGCAAGAGAGATTATATTGAATAATACATCACACAATGGTAGAAATTCGTGTTGATGTTGTGTCTGTAGATGCTGGGCCATAATGGGCTTTTGTTATCCATTTGGATTATCCAGCACCTTTTCTTTTCATCAACCTATGCCACACATTCCACAATATAGCAATTGCCTCATATAATGGAGAAAAAAAATTATATTCTAGCTGAAATATAAATTATAATTTAGTATAATAAATTATAATCATATTATTAAAGAATAAAGATAATTTTTTTAATTTAAAAAAAAATAGTTCTAAAATATATAAAAATTATAAAAAAATGTTATTTTAAATATTTATTAATAAAATGTATCAATTACTTAATAATAAGTAAAAATAAAAATTTTGATTTAAAAAAATTGTTATTCTAAAAATATAAAAGAAAAAAAATTATGAAGCGTAGGAGGAAGCGAATTTGCTTACCACATTCCTCAGATGTCACCGAATGAGTAATCACAAAAGTAACATTCTCATCTAGATGCTGGCTTTGCAAGAGCTTGGACCAATGTTATATGTGTGTGTTATATGTGTGGAATGTAAAGAATTTATCTATATACTTTGCGGACGCTTTCAAAAATAAAATCTTTCTTCATTAGTTATTTATAATTTGAATTACTTTTGGATTATATTGATATATTTTTCATCAATTCATGTTTATAAAGAGCAGTTTATTCAATATTAAATAAATTTAATTCGATTTATCAATTGGTTCAAAAGATAGCTTTGAAATACTATAATGTAATACTTATCGTTGCTCCACTGACTTTAAAACGCAAGATTGTCGACCAAGTAGTCAGGAATTCCAAACAGTGGTTCTCTTTCTAGAATTCTGCATAAAAACTTTCCACAATTAATCAATCTTTCGCATTCTTTGTTAGTGGTTCTCATAATTTTATATATGATTTGATATATTTTATAATTTTATATTTGATTTGAATTTTGCACATACATGTAAAATATAACAAAAATTATTAAGAAAAAGTTATGTGCTTAAAATTTTATTAATTAAGGTTTAATAATTTAAAATTCACAATACTTTTAAATGGAATATTATGCGAATATTCAGAAATATAGATTAATATTAATATATTTATTTTCATTTTTTTATTTTCCGAGAAATATAACAATTTCTCTTTTTTATGTGATGAAGAATGCATATATGTAACTTTAAAAATTGATAATTTATTCATATATTTATTATTTATTTTTATATTGTTTACTGTAAATATGTATTTATATATGTATTCTTTTTTAATATATTATATATTAAAATTTATAATAAGATAAAGTATATCTTTCTTATAAATTAAATCTTCTGCTAATCTAAAGATTAATTAAAATTATATGCATAAAAAATGTTTTGAAATTGTATTTTTTCTCAATTGCATACATACTTTTTATACTTTTTTTATGTATATATTAGCAAATTTTATAAAATTGTCCTAAGGCCACTTTTCCTAAGGTCATTAAAGTTTTAGTTTGGTCAAAGATTCTATTTTTTCTTCAATAAAACTATCAAATAAATGAAAATAATGAAGTTATTTGTTTTTAAATATATCAATAAATAATGCTCATGTATTTTATAATTCTTTTAATTACGAAGATTAAAAAACAAATGATACTTTATTTTGTTTCAAATATATCACACAAACATTTGGACGCACAGCAAACCAAAAATCATGTTAAACATAATAAATTTAAGAATATTAAAAAATTTGTAAGATGAATTTTTATAATCGATGTTATTTAAATCAATAAAGAAATATTCGAATTATTTTTATTAAAAAATATTTTCATTAAGGTAAACATAATAAATTCCTATTAAAATATTGAGACTAAAGGAATATATATTATGTGCCTTAGTGCAATTTGATATTATGAAAATGTGAATTCTATAAGTACATATCAATACCGACATATTTTAAAAAAACTTCTTGTACATCTCATTCAATTACAATATGTTAAAAATTTTGTATACAAAACTGTTACGCTATAATTATTTTCAATTAAAACTAACATAAAAAGACATTCATATAGAAATGATATGCCGATTTGTAAAATCAGTCTTACAGAGTTTAAAAATCAGATATATATATATATATATATATACACACACACACATATATATATATATCTTTTAATATTTATTACGCAGAGGTAGGAATATTTTGAATATATTAAAATAAAAAAGAAAACAGCAACAGTAATATATATACAAAGAAGAAAGTGCCGAATACTATCAACGATATATGAATTTTTATACGTATAAATATTTGGCAGCTTGTTAAAAAATAATAATACATTAAGAAATATATCAAAGCAAAATAATAGAAAGTGTTTTATAATATCTAAAAATTTGAATAATTTATGATTAAGTTTGTATTTAAAAAATATTATCAAAGAATATTTCTTGTATGGTTGTTTAATTAATAATTATAAAAATATTATTAATAAATAATTATCGCTATCATATTTCTCATTTAAAATTAAATTCAAATTCATAATTTTTAAGTCAAAAAATCATTTCATATTTATCTAATTTATACAATAAGTAATACTAATTTTTTTAAAGATAATACGATTTATGTAACTAAGAAATAAAATATATTATAAACTTAGCTATTCTCTAAAAAAAGAAAAAAAATTAAAAAAAAAATCTATTTTTAATAGTTTCTGTTTTTAAAAACAGCCTTTTGAATAATTATCATTTATTTTGTTTCTAAATGAGAAAAATAAGTAACGTGCACTTTTCTATGATTTATCTTAATTAAAATTATTATGATATGGCTGAATATTTTAAATATTATTAATAAATTGTGAATTGAATATCCTAATGGTTTTTTTTGTTTTTTATAAAATATTATTACATGAAAATTATGATAGGAAAATTAATAAAAGATAACAATTTAAAATTCAATTATTTTTGCTTTTAAAATTGATAAGAATAATGTAGATTGTAAAAGCTAATAAAACAAGATTGTCTTCATAAAAGTTATTTAAATATGCTAAAAATCTTGGAATGTCCATCAAATATAATTCAAAAAAAAAAAAAATTCAATCGACTCGACCATAAGATGGAACTATATTTTTTCTATCCAAAAATCGCAATTAGGATAGTCACGCTCAGGAAGCGTATCTTGACCAACAATCAAAACTCGTTTTACACCATTAGAATTTGTCTGAGCTACTTCGCCGTGCCAAACATAATGATTAAAAAGTTGTTGCATAGCAGATACATGTCTTTTTTCAGCAGGAGTACGAGCAGCATACGATCCAAGTATTGCTGCAGCATCACTATCAGGATCTGCAAACTGACCTCGCGGTTGCGTTGCCACATAGAATGGAATATTGGTTTTCATTCTGGCGACTGTTAACAATGGACATACAACACGAATGTCCGAAATCATGCTTAATAAACCTTTTAATGTTGCATTATAACGTCTGAAAAAAATTAAATTTTTTATTATTTTTAATCTCTGTAATTTTAATTTTAATTAATAATGAAATTTTTAACAGAAATATAAATGGAAATCGAAATAAAAATTTTTTTTACAAATATATAATAATGAATTTAATAAAAGAATCTAACCTGAGAGCTTCATCTGCTAAACCAGTTGTGCCCAGTAAAGATTCCTTTACAATTTTCTCTACTTGCGTGGAATTGAGAGTAATATTAGAAATAAGATATTTAAGAGGAGCTCCAGCATGGGCAGTGGTGCCCATTACTATTTTCACTGAAAATTCATCTCTTGCCCAAATTTGACCTACAGGTTCTTGAAGAATAGCACGATCAAGTACAAGCCATTCGTGTCTTCTATCTCTAATTGTTGCTTCTCTTGCTTCAGGTAAGCCAATGTTTCCTAAATGCCAAGTCTCAGGAACTGAATCCATAATCTCTTCGGCACTTTTGCTTCGTAAACAGGCGGCATCATTACATCTTGTAGAATTTAAAAATAACTCATTAAGTGTTTCTGAAAATTCCAATTCTCTTCCAGGAAATATTGCACTACCGCTAGAGATCCATACTCTCTGAAAAAGATCTCTTGTTCGTCGAATACCAACTAAAGTTGTTACAAGAGTTGCTCCAGCTCGATGACCCCATAAAGTTACAGATGATTTATTTCCGCCAAAATTTTCGATATTAAGATGAACCCATTGAAGAGCTGCTATAATATCAGATAAACCATAATTTCCGGATGTGAGAGGATGCGATGTCCTTGAAAGTGGTTCTGTCGCTAAAAACCCGAAAATGCCCAATCTGAAATATGAAAAAAAAAATCATTATAAATTATAATATATATATATTCTATAATATAATTACTATACATACTATACATACTATATATACATATAAATTATAATTTATATAGCAATATGAATAAGAAAAATTAAAATAAAGAATGAAAACTAACCGGAAGTTAGGTCTAACAAACACCATATCACGAACACGAGCAAGTTTTGCAGAAGGTTGCATTACACCTGGAGAACCACCGCTAAGAGTTTCAGCACCAATCATAACGACTACCGGTAATGGTAAATCGTATCTAATTTCAGGTGTAAAGACATCCAAATACAAACAATTCTCAGTTCCGATAATACGTCCTGAAATTTCTCGTTGCAAACAAACTTTTGAAGAATTATGTGCTTGATATGTATTTTTCCAACAATATTCTATTTTTCTTAGAGATTCTGCGGGTTGCCAACGACGATTTTCTAATGGTGGAACTGCATACGGAATTCCACGAAATGCGAATGCTCCGTCTTCCGATATACCTTGTACAAATCCACAAGAAGTTATTGCTTCAACGAAGCTCCCATCTTTTACTAATTGTGAAGCACTTTTTCTTGGTCCAATGCAAGCGATACAGATGATAATCACGACTGATACCAGGATGCATAATGTGGCCACTATTGTTATACATATATTGAATGAATTAAATTATTTATATTATTAAAATTTTAAGATTTATATTGTTTTACATTTTAAAAAAATTTTACATATTTAAAAATTTAATAAGCATTGTTATTATACATTATTACAATTTATAACTGATAATATAACATTTCTTTTTATTGATTTATTCGAAAATTTAAATGATAATAAGATAATATTAATAAGATTTTAGAATTTTAAATTGAAATTATTATTGACTGTATTATTATGAAAAAATTATATACCTAACACAAATAAATTTCGCCTTGCAGCGGATATACAAGCAACAAGAAAATGTTGTTTAGGAGATTCAATTCCGTCTGGAGCATCTCCATCGAGTCGAACGGTTTCCATACCGTCTTCATTTCCAATAGGATTCTTTTCTGTTACAGTATCATCAAGTGTTTCAATACTTGCTAATCCAGCAGTTCCAGTAGTTCCTAATTCCACTTCACTTTCCTAAAATAATATTATTTTTTATAATTTTCAAGTATAAAAGAAAATAATTCAAAGTAAAATGAAATAAAAAAATTTATGTTTAAATTTATATTTAAAAAGTATAATGTAAAGATAATTCTTTATATTAATTTTTCATACCTTTCATACCTAATATTAATGATTTATAAAAAAATTTCTTATAGAATATAAGTTATGAAAAAAAATGTTTATATTCTATTATATTAAATTATTTATATTTCTAATTAATAATTAAATTGTAAAAAAAATAAAACGATTTTAAAATATAAAAATGATGAAAAGATTTACTCTTAATACAAAAACGACAAAATTCTACTTCATAAAGAGAATATGTGCTTGATTTAATATATTTTTAGATTATATTTTAATTTTAAAGTTTAAAATTAACCATTATTAATAATTACTTTATTTTTTTTTCTAGGAAAAACGGAAACCAAAGGTAACTTTATCGCGTCAAGAATTCCTCTTCGTCCTTCTTTTTCTTTGACATCTTTATTTGGCATATTTGTTTTTTCCAATGATACATTTTGATCACTTTCTTTTACAGTTTTATCAGTTGCATCGCCTTCGCCAGTTTCAACTGAATTACTATCATCCTCCTAATAATAAAAATCAAATTTATTAATTTAGAATATCTTTATTTATTTATTATAAAAATATTTTTCAAAAAGTAGACATAAAAAGATAAATATATTTTCTGTAACATTAATATTTAATTCAATAATAAATATCACTTCTAATTATCGTAACGATATTTATTATTTAAAAGGCATATGATCAATAATGCCAGGTGTGCTGTTTATCTGACGTCATTCATTGGTTTAATGTTAGAAAAAAATCATTACGGGGCTATGAGCACCCTTCATAAACACACGCATATTACTTTAAGAACTTTGTACTTATTGTAAACAAATGTTAATCAAAAAAAAATTATATTACTATTCATTATTTATATGTTTAAATTAATATCTTAATATAATAAGAAATAATTTTAATTATTAAATAATGCAAGCGTTCTATTATTTAAATTTCTGTTTATGTGATTAAATTAAAAAAAAACATTCGTTTTACTTTTTTATATCTTCTATAAGATTACAAAATGAATATTATTCAATCAATATTATTCAGCAACACAGTTTAAGGAAATAAGATGCAAGTATTAGTAATTTATAAATGTACATTAGATATTTTATATTAAAAAGATAAAATCAATTAAGAAAATAATTATTTTTGATATTATACTATATACTATTAAAAAACAAAAAAAGTTTTTAAAGTAATTTCAATTACTTTACAAAGTTCCTTGCTCTTTGTACGATAGAAGCCAGGCATTTTAATACCACCAATTGGAATTTTCTTTTTAGGTTTCTGATCTTCGGATTCCATTTCTGGAACGGTCGATGCCACAGTATGTTTCGTGTTTTCAGCATTCAACATTTTCTCTCTTTCTTCTTCTGCAATTTCTTTTTTATCCATGCTCTTTTCCTGATCTTCTTGATTCATCCTTTATCTTATTCTAAAAAATGAATTAAATCCAATATCAATAAAATTTGGTACTTAAAAAATATTTGTATATAAAAATGTTATCAATATCGAGAAAGATAATTTTTTTTTGTAATATATTCTTTTAAATGAATTATGTTAATATTATTTATTAATTATTCATTTATTTTTTTAATACTATTAATATTATTTTCTATTCATAATTTATTTTTATTTTTTTAAAAATTGAATCAATATAAATTCTATTAATAATATACATTTTAAACAAGAAAAAGAAAAAAAAATTTAATTTCAATTAAAATTAAAATAATTTTAAAAAATGTAATTTCCGATGATTAATTGTATATAATATTTAGAAAGAATATATATGAGGAAACCATAATGCATACCACCCTGTATATATACGTATAAGAGTTGCAGCTGGCGTCGGGACGCCCAGACATAAACCGATCGATTGGATGGCATTGCTCTCTGAACCTATTGCTTCAAGAAGTCTAGCAATACATAGTTTTGCTTTTATTTTTTTGATAACAGAAATTTTTAATTTTTTAATTAAATTGTATGATTTTTATATTATTAAAATTATTATTATATTATTAAATTATTAATGAATTATATATTCTTTAATTATTGTATATTATCAATATAGAAATTCCATTAAACAAGTAAATATATTTTATTATATATATAAGATAATATAGATAAATATAGATAAATATAGATAAGATTTAAATTTATAAATAAAATATTTAATTTTTGAAAGAATAGAATTAAATATATTTTATAATACCTATATTAGTAAATATTAATAATATTAATACAATTTTAATAATTTAATAATAAAATTTTAATAATTTGTATTATTATTTATTTTTACAAAATTATAAATATATTTGGCATCAAAAAATAATAAATATATTTATTATAATTATTTCAGTTATCAGTTAAATAAAAGTAAAGCAAGATTAAAAAAGAAAGTATTAATTTTAAAAATTAAAAAAAGAACAATACTTATTTAATTCTTTGAATACGAATTTTGCAATAAGAATAATTTATTTTTTCTTTAAATTATTATACATCTATCATTGATTTTAATAATAAACATATAAGTTCATAAGAAAATATAATGTAGAGATTAATGTACTAGATAATAATATTAAAACTGTAGATTCACAGAAAAATTCAATTGAATTTTACTGGTCAAAATGTAAAACGATTTTTTTTTGTTCGCATTTATTCTCCCCTATGTTGCAGCCCCTTTATATTGTGTTCCACTGTCGCGCAGTTCCGAAAGAAATAGGTTGAACTTTCTCTTCCGTGGATACAAAAAATTCATATACAGTTACCTTAGAATATTTATTTCTTTTTATTTTAATATGTAAATATATTTCTAGAATATATCTTCTATAAGATTATTTTTAATAAAAATTAAATTTTTATTCAATTATTTCTTTATTTATAATATGTATAATATATATAAAAAATATTAAAAAATATTTTATATTTTACAAATATTTTTAACATTTCAATAATTTTTACAGATATATTTCATTTATATAATATAAGTAGAAAAACTATTTGTAGAGAGTTTTTTTCTTTCTTTATACCATTTTCATGAACTCTTATTATATTCACGATTCAGTTCAATGTATCTTTCACTGTACGAATCGTGCAAATGGCAAATAAGAAAAAAAGTTGTAAATACTTACGCTTTTCGAAAGATTGAGAAAGGACGCTACTTAATTTTGTAGAAATATTTCTTCTTTCCTATGTTGAAAAGTTATTGGATGATGAGCCACTGTGAAAATTAATTACGTTAATCTCGCGAATAGTAATCACTTCATTGATTGAAAAAATTTATCAATAAATTATTTTAAATAGCATAAATATCACCACAAACGGAGCTCAAGGCATGCTTACTTCGACTGTCGTCCAACGAGTCGTCTATGATGCTTCTCCCACCATAGTTTGAACATAATACAGTGATTCTATTGGTCAATTCCAACTATGCGCGGTCGCTTTGTTTTAAATGTTTAAATGATATATTTTTTGCACTTCTATTTATTGCAATATTATTATTGTATAATTTAAACTGAACTATTGTCAAAAAATAAAAAATTGAAATAAAGATAATTATTTCATTCTATTCTATATAAAATACAATAAAATAAAATATATAAATTAATATTCGAAATTTCGGTTTAAATTTAATAGCGTATAAATTATAAAATAAAATTTTTATATTTTCATAATATTACAATATATTTGTAACAAAGTCACAAGAATATAAATATAAATGCGATATATGATATACAAATTAATTTATCTTTATGAATAGATTATGAAATTATAAAAAATTGTTTTTTTAAAGAAATTTCATTTTAAATTTTTACACAATAAATATTTAAAAAATGGCGTTTATATTTTATCACTAACCAATGATAGAGCAGTGTAACATAAACAGAAATCTATAGATTTAAACAAAAAAATTTGAAAAAAAATAAAAAAAAATTAATTCACAAATTATAAAGATTAATGTATTATTCATGATACTTATCTTAAGCTTTGCTAGAAGTGTTAATAAAGATACTAATTATTATACTTCTAAAATAAAATATTTTGAATTACATATTGGTAAAGTTGTGTATATTTCGCGCTTAATCCTACACTGCGCATGCGTGTTCTTTCCAAGTAAATCCGCGTCGTCGCTGTCGTAATATCGTACTTGCGTTACTCGTTTCACGATACGTAGCGTGCATTACTGTACAATCGTATACACATCTATCGTTTGACAGTTGATTTTAACACGCGCAGTAACATCAATTCTGATTTATTCGATATCCATTTAGTTTTTCCTAAAGCAATATATACCTATTCGTTGTTGACATGTCGTTCATTGAATTCCGGGAATCGGTCTGTAAGAAAGCGCGCTTATATTCGGCGACATTGGATACGTAGGTGTCATAATGTGTTCGAAGAGGAGCGTATCAATGTCTACGTGCCTAGAGATGAATTTCCTGCATCACTTCTGGACATCGCGGGGTTAAAATCTCGGCTCGACAGACAAAATAGCTAGATAGATAGTTAGCATAAATAGTTAAAAAAAAAAAAAGCAGAAGGATTAAGTGTTGGTGAAACAAGCATAAGAGCTTGTTTAGTAGAATTTCTAAATTGAAAATCGCGAGAAAAAACGGCCGATCAATGTCTTATTTGTGATGGGAGTGCCTGCGCGGGGAGCACTCGCGGCGATTGTCGCCATAAGCGCATTCGCTGTCTATTTAAATAGCCTTAATTGCGGCTTCGTTTTTGATGATATTTCAGCGATAAAGGATAATCGTGATCTCAGGCCTCATACACCTTTAAAAAATGTTTTTTACAATGATTTCTGGGGTACTCCTATGCACAAGGTAATACGATATGTAATGTAATGGGCGCTTTCGATTTCCCCTTCCCTTTCACTCTTGTCTACCTTCTTGTGTATTGATCCGTTCAACTCTTCTCTTCCTTTTCCTTCCCTTTCGATTTGATTCGATTCAATTTAGTTTTAAGTAAATCTTATTTAACTTTAATCTCTTTAAGTTTCTTTCATTTTTTCCCAACAAATCAATATTTTTGATCCGAAAAATTTTTTTTATTACTTATCAATCATTTTAATGAAGATTGATATATTATTTAATTTTATTAAATATTTCTAATGATTCTAAAATTAAATCATTTTACAAATAATTATAATTTATAGAAGAAATTAATTAATTTATGAAATTTTGTAAATTTTTATTCATATATTCATATAATTTAGTAAATTTTTATTCATTTTTTTGAAAAAGAATGTATAAAATGTATTTTAAATCATACTAAAATGTCTTATTATTATTATAATATTAACTTATGAGTTTTTAATTTAATTTTGTGAATATCAAAACAATTGTATTTTAAATAGGAGCAATCGCACAAATCATATAGGCCTTTGTGTGTTCTCACATTTCGATGGAATTACCTAATTCATCAATTGGATCCTATGGGATATCACCTGCTTAATGTTATTCTACATATTGGAGTATGCTTATTATATTTCAGGTGTGTTTTTTCTTTTTTTAAAAAAATAAGTTTTTTTTTTAGCTATATATTATATTCTAATATATATATATATAATATAAAATATATTCAGTAATACTTCATATATGAGAGAAAAAATGTTAGAAAAAAAATTATTCAAACATTAAATAAACATATACATAATACAATATTAAATAAATATTTAAAATTTAGAAATATTTATATTTTATATAAATATTATATTTAATATTTAAAAATATCATTGAAATTGTTTTTATATAATAAAATAGTTCAAAATAAAAATAAAATAATATGTATTAATTGATATTACAGGACTTGTTTGATGTTTCTATCCGATTCTGCAACTTTTGTGTCTTCTCTTCTGTTTGCGGTTCATCCTATACATACAGAAGCAGTAAGTTGTTTAGACTGCTCTCCATATCGATCGAATCGATCGACGTTACCTTGAAATTATACGAGAATATTATTTGGTAATTATTTCTAGTCCTTGTTCTCCTCTTCGGCGACAATGTATCAATGTATCCAGATTCAAATGGTCGACGTCGAGCGATCGATCGCGTCGTAGTTCCTAGTTCGTGTTTAGATGCATTGTCAGTGGATAATCGTGTATTAAGGTTACAGGAGTGGTCGGAAGAGCAGAAACATTGTCCTCCTTATTTTACTTAGCGGCTTTAATCACATATACTAAATGCTGTAGAAGTAGAAGATCTACAGGTATTTAATTCTTTTTATTTTTTTAACATTTATTACTGTAAATTATTAATATTATTTATTAAAATAATATTACATTTATTTTTAGGATGGAAATCTTTGATATTGTCTATGTTTTTTGTTTTCACTGCCATGTTATGCAAAGAACAAGGAATAACAGCTACTGCAGTTTGTGTATTTTATGAAATTTTTGTTGTACAAAAGGTAAATTAATATATGGATATTATAATTTAAAAATTTTTTTTAATTTATATATTTTATTATTTGTTTAGATAAGAGCAGTGGATATTTTCCTAACATTAAAAGCAGCTTTTGGTGGGAAAAAGATATCACTTACTTGGTCCAGTGAAGGTACAAAACGATTGACGGTTCTTACGCTCGTTACGTTTAGTTTACTTATTCTTCGACTACATGTAATGGGCTCAAAGTTACCTGTATTTACCAGGTATCTGTAAATAATTAATTGTAATTATAAATATGTTATATACGTTTACTTAAAAATTATTGAAATCAAAAAATCTTGTTTTTTGTAGATATAAATGAATTTCTATAATGAAAATAATTCTTTCTAATATTTCAGATTTGACAATCCCGCGTCAGTGGCTCCAACGCCAATAAGACAGCTTACCTATAATTACCTCGCAGCAGTTAATTTAAGACTGCTATTTCTTCCAAGCGATTTATGCTGTGATTGGACTATGGGAACGATACCGTTGATAGAAAGTTTTTCGGATCCTCGCAATCTTGCTACTATAGCAACTCATACAACCATACTAGGATTACTGATAACAGCAATTTTAACACCTAATAGACAAACTTCCATTATTCTTATAATGGTTAGTATTAAATTAATTTTGTATTTTTTTCTTAAATTAAGATATAATTTTTAAAAAACTGATTATGAAATTTTTTGTATAGAGTTTGGCTATGATGGTACTTCCATTTTTACCTGCCTCAAATCTTTTCTTCCCAGTGGGATTTGTCATTGCTGAAAGAGTATTGTATGCTCCATCTATGGGATTTTGTATGCTTATTGGATATGGATGGAGCATTTTATGCGATAAAAAGTAATTATAAATAGAAAAAATTTTTTATAAATATTCAAAATTTTTTTGAACTATATTTTTAATTTATACTTTTCATATTTATAGATTTAAGAAATTAACACTATTTTTATTAATAACTCTTTTGGCTGCACACACAACAAAAACCTTTATGAGAAATTACGATTGGTTAGATGAATATTCCATATTTATGTCGGGATTAAAAGTAAATGATCGCAATGCCAAATTATTTAACAATGTTGGGCATGCTTTGGAAAGTCAAGGAAAATTCAAGGAAGCATTGAATTTCTTTAATATGGCTGTGCAAGTTCAAGGCGATGATATTGGTGCGCATATTAATGTGGGTAGAACTTATAATCATCTGAAGATGTTCAAAGAAGCTGAAGATGCATACCTAAAAGTAAATGCATAATTAAAATAATATAATCATAAAAATTATTTAATAATAATATTCATAAAGTTCAAATGATAAAACTTTTTAGGCAAAATCTTTATTACCAAAAGCAAAACCTGGAGAATCTTATCAAGCGCGAATAGCTCCAAATCACTTGAATGTTTTTGTAAATTTAGCAAACCTAATAGCGAAGAATGCAACTAGGTTAGAAGAAGCTGATCTGCTTTATAGACAAGCCATTAGTATGCGCGCAGATTATACGCAAGCGTATATTAACCGAGGCGATGTTTTAATTAAACTTAATCGTACGAAAGAAGCCCAAGAAGTTTATGAACGAGCTCTTTTCTACGATAGCAACAATCCAGACATTTATTATAACGTAAATATAAAAAATAAAATTATTAAATATTAATAATATTTATTAAAAGATTATTATTATGTTAATTATTAATTATGATAATTTTATTTTATTTTTAAAGCTTGGAGTCGTATTTCTTGAACAAGGGAAAGCATCTCAAGCTCTAGCATATCTTGACAAAGCTCTTGAATTTGATCCAGAACATGAACAAGCATTACTAAATTCAGCCATTTTACTTCAAGAATTAGGGCGCGCCGAACTACGAAAAGTAGCCAGAGAAAGACTTTTAAAACTCTTACGAAAAGTATTTTCCTTCACATTTTTCATACATAATGTCAAAATATTCCTTCCCATTATTTTAATGATGTTTATTTTTAGGATTCCAATAATGAAAGAGTTCATTTTAATCTTGGAATGTTAGCTATGGATGACCACGATAGCGGAAGTGCAGAAAGATGGTTTCGCAATGCTGTTGCACTCAAAGAAGATTTTCGTTCCGCTTTATTTAATTTGGCTCTTTTATTAGCAGATGAACAACGTCCTCTTGAAGCTGCTCCATTTTTAAATCAACTGGTTAGATTTCATCCGGACCACGTTAAAGGATTAATCCTTTTAGGTGATATTTACATAAATAATATAAAAGATTTGGATGCTGCTGAAAATGTAAGTTTATAATTACAAATAATAAATATTTTTAAATATTTCAACACTAATATAAAAATTTTTAAATGGTTACAGTGTTACCGTAGAATTCTACAGTTGGATCCAACAAATATTCAAGGTCTTCACAATTTATGTGTTGTAATGGTTGAACGTGGTAAATTGGGCTTAGCTGCCCAATGTTTAGAACGTGCAGCAGCTCTAGCACCTCACCAGGATTATGTACATAGACATCTGGCTATTGTTAAGGCTCGTATTAGTAGATTATCTCCGGAACAACGTGATACAGAAGTGTTTGATGATTCTTTCTGGCAAAGTGGTCCCAAAGAAAGAAACTTTAACATGGGAGATATTTCCAACAATAATGGTATTGGAAGTACTAGTGGTACAAGTGGTCTCAGTAATATGGAAAATAGCCAGTTTTTAGGCAAAACGGATTCTGTTTTTTCAAATCATCATAATCATATTGGTCATAAAAGGAGTAATACGGACTCAACAAATCATATGATGCATCTGAAAAGTTCATCAAAATCTGCAAGAGTTACACTGACTGAAATGAAGCCAGAAGTGAAGAATACGCACATCGATCATGATAAATCAAGTGCTAATTTGAATAATCAGCAAGAATATTCCTCTGGAAATTTTTTTAGTAAAAACATGAACTCAGATGCAACGGAATTGACAATCGATCGAGAACGTGCGATTAATTCGGAAAAATTTGATAGGACTGCACCAGCATTTTCAACAGGCGGAAAGCATGGAACTATACGTCGAAAAGATACCGCACTTTCATAGTACTGATATTTGAAAATTACGCCGAATATTGTATAAAGTTATATTCTATATATAACGAAAAAATATGGTGGTACAGTCGTATAGAGCTAATGTGTGAATATAAAATAAATACAGAGTATTGTTTTATATGCTGTACGAATAGAATGTTTTGTAAAATATATTTAAAAAATGTGCATTTCTTTGGTTTTATTTTTTCGTTTATGCGAATAGAATTTATCATTGTCCGAAAATCATAATTATCTTTATAATATTTCATTGCTTTCGAAAATACTTTTTATTATTTTTTTTTTAAATTTTGAACGTGTATTAAAATTCACGTCTAATATTCATTAAGAATTTGAAAATTTTAAATTTGATTATGTATACATACGCATAATTAATTATAAATATATTATATTTTATAAAAAAATTTTTATTAGAAATCATATCATTGCTTTTGGGATTATATTATATTATTCATTTTCTGATAATATAAAATCAAAATTTTTGAAATAAAAAAATTTATAATAGGAGAATATAATTAGAAAAGAATATGGCATATGAAATTTTTTTCGAATTTTTGAAATGTCATCAAAACATAAATCAAAATTTTTAAAACAATAAAAATTAGAAGTAGATATCTCTAAGTGAATGAAATTTGTAAATATAAAGATATATAGAAATAAGATCATTAAATCAGCGCCATCTTCAGAGCAAACGAAACACATAAAGATAAAAAAAAAAAAAAANAATAGAAAATAAGAAAAATAGAT